GAAATACAAATCTCAGTGTGCAAATAGGGATCATCATTTGAGACATGCCACGGTGAATCGAAAACTTCAAGATGACAAAATCAATTTTCTTTAATGCCTCTTTGAACCCTCTTTTAAGACTTCTTTCCAATTATGCCAAGTCGAAGGCGACAGGGCGAGTTAAAAGATCTAATTGAATCATTTTCAGCATTTTCCGTACAGTTCAAATTACCACCGACGATTTCTGACGTAGTTATTCCACACGTATATATAGGGTGACTCAAAATTGCTTTTGAGATTATATGTATATAAGTGACACGAAATGAATCAATAACCAAGAATAGACATTTTGTCTCTTCATAGAAGGAAAAGATATGACTCATTCAAACAATAATATTCATTCATTATAGGAGGAAAGAAAGTATTAGGTTTTAGCTCGAGGTTGTGTTGTCTATCCAAGCGTAGCGGAGGGAAACAAAAAACCTTGAGCTAAAATCTAATATTTTTTCCTTGTATAAAACACTATTTTTTGCTGTAACAGGAAGGACAAATCAATATTGAGATGATATCGGATTATATTGAAATCAGAAAATTATCGACGTGAAATTTGAAGGTTTTAACTGGAATTATACCTGATGCGTTGCAGGCATCATTTTGAGGGCACTTGTATCATTTATTTGAAGTAATCAAATATCTGTTAGTCGAATTCTGTTCTGTTTAGTAGGTCACCGCGAAGTGAAATGGAAGATAAAAGAACTTGCAGTTCTCTCTCGGAGCCGGTGTTATTGGTTAATTTTTGGGAATTAGCACAGCAAAAGCCATCAACAGTGTATAATAAATATATCTGGGAAAAAGTTGAACTGTAAACACGGTATACAAACTCACAGGATAGCGATGTGCCACACAAATATCACTTCACATAACTTGACACTGGAAGTAATCAAAATAGAGAGACTCGCAAGACATAGCGATCAGAGACAGAGCCCTTCTTGAGAATTTATAGGAGAACCTTGACAAAGATGAAGTCATGAAAAACATTTTCTCCACCATCATCTATAAAACCTACTATTATTTACTCCGTTTCGAGGAGTGATGTGTGTTTTTACAACCAAGGTAGTTTCTGACATTTCATGAACCACTAGTCAATGAAGACATAACCACCTCTGTTATGATTATTCATGTTCATGCCTATACTAGATTATAATTAGAATTGGAGAGAAGTGCTTCCATAGTGACAATAGGTTCATTGTATTGATATACACCTTGATAGTAAAGAATATTATCACCAGGGGACAATATATGTATATATGTTTATTGCCCAGAAGAAGAAATATTCTTGTTGACAAACAATTGTTGTACAATGCACATGAACACTAATATAAATAAAATATATAAAAACATACATTGTCGATTATCATAGTCATAGTTTTCTTGAATTATATTAGATCCGATTCTGACTTCAGCAAGTTCGCATTTAAATGTTTTTATGCTCGTTTTGTCAATATTTAAGGACAGCAAATTCGCGTCGCACCATTCCTTAACTTTTTGGATGTCTAGAATTACATTTCATTGTAGATTGTCTGGATTTTTCTGGTGCCACAATATTGTGGTATCATCAGCGAATAAGGTGAAACTTCCTGTTATGTCTAGCTGGAAAAGATCGTTGATAAATAAAAGAAACACAATTGGGCCCAATACAGAACCTTGAGGCACTCCCCACTTTATCAATTTAATTTCAGAGTTAGCTTGTGACCTAACGAATTGTGTTCTTCCTGAGAGATAGGATTCAACCCACGCCAGGCTTGAGCCCCTGAAACCGTAATGTTCCAGTTTACGCAGCAGAATTCTGTGACTCACGCAATCAAACGCTTTCGATAAATCACAGAATACTGCCGCTATTGCTTCACCATTGTTTATATTGCTGTATGCTAATTGCAATATGCAATATAACCCTCGAGTGAAGTCGAGGCTTGGTCCCTGGGTAATACTGATATTCTTTAATACCTTGGTGTATGAAAAACTATAATATCACCCCAAATGGACACAGGAAAAAAATCTTCTTACTTTGCTTATGCTACTGAATGAGTAGGAATCGAAAATGTTGAGGCATAGATTAACGACTCTCCGTTGAGGTATTTAGGTTGTGATGAATCATATCCGAGTTTATCATCAAGCAGAAAGTTTGGAGTCAGGAATTAATTAATTATTCAGATTTTTGGCTTTCGAGCTCTCGAACATATTGAATCCAATTATCTTAGAATGAGTTCCAGGTATTAGTTAATTATCAAATCCAATGTATTGATGGAGCTGGCTTTAAAACACATCATTAAACTACAGTTTTTTCGGTGTGAATACGAGAAGGAAGAACCACCGAACCAGGTGTGAACAATCTGCGAATATTCGATATGAATAATTCTGAAGGTTCTCAATTATAACTGTATTAAATGTGTAATCTGCTCTTTTCAATTCAATTAACCCTCGAATTAACTGTAAACATCTCATATTCCGTGATATTTAAATTCGGCAAATTTTAATAAATTCGTACAAAACGTGCAAAAAAATATTTCCGTGATGATATAGACAACACATATGCCGCTGTATAATGGCTACAAATGGTACTGTGGTTGTAAAACGTCCTACGATGTTATCTGTTGACGCTGTTAATGGCACTCTTGGGGTGACAAATGAATAAATAAATGGAAGTTTAATTAAAATTTGGGCATTTCGATGTTTATCCGGACCGGATCTAGTTCCGTTACATTTATGAGGACCATTTTTCATTGACGACGGTACCTTTTTGCAGCAGTCGCAACTGGTTCCTAATTGAAATTTTTCGGAATCTATTTACATGGAGATTAGTCGGAGTGTGTGCTTGTTGGCGTGCACAAATGATGTGGAATTATCATTGGGGTTATGTTATTGGGGTTGAAGGGCCATCAGGAGATCGGGAGATGATCGTGAAATTTATGATAATGCGATTTTAACTTCCGATTGCGGTTGAGGACTGAAACAAAGTGTGTTTAAATATAGATATAAATATGAATGATTAACGAACACCTCACTCTGGGCACCCTGGAATCTGGAAGAATACTCTATCGCTTCGGTTTTGAAGATATTTAGTTGACATTTGGAAAAAGCAAAAGTACAATGGGGCTTCCGGTTCTGATGCTGCTATAATTCCGATTCATGCAGCGTCGTCATTTGATTCGTTTTGGCAAATGCGACCACTTCCGGGGCAGAATGTCCACCGATTAGTTTCAGTGTTTTGACCAAAAATTTTACGATAATACAGGGTGATCCACGGTGGATGGCCTATTAGAAGTATCTGGAGAACGAAAGGACAGAACATTCTGAAAATTGGGATCCTTTGATAATTGAACATTCTTTATACGTTTAAAATATTTTCATCGATACAGTGTTGCCACTTATATTAGAAACAACCAGCAACTTTGTTATTTCTAATGAAACACCCTGTATTTTATTGCATTTTCAGATTCTTTCTGAAGAGCTGATTTCATCAATGTGTCACACTTGGGGTCTAGCAAGAATGATTACAGAGATATAGGGTGTTCAAAATCGAGATTTTTCAATTTTAATATTTTTTTGTGTCGATAAAAACGGTTTACATGTCCCTATCTTAACTTTTGATTCACTGTCCACTGGAATTTAATTGGAAAAAATACAGGATGCTTCAAGATTCAGAATTCTGATCACCCTGTATCTCTAATAGGTTTCATCCTACTATATATTTTAGCACTGTTCTGATATGAAATGCAAGAAATCAAAACTACCTTATAACTTCCCTAGTAAACATACACAATTCAACTGGATTAAGTAAGGAAATCAGCTCGAAGCCGTGACCATTCAATGACTTCTGACCTTTTATGATATTAGTAAAAACTTCACAAACGATAAGATTTCTACAAAATTTTAAACACACAACATGTTTCGCTAACACAGTAGCTTCGTCAGGTGATATACTGGTACAATGAACTAAACCAACGTTGGCTTGCTTAACTTTTATACATCCTAATTGCCCAGCTTGTAGGATTAGTTACCTGTGGACAGGTTCGATTAACCTTCATTTTCGGAAAACAGGCACAATATCTACATTGAAATACGATGTACCGGATTAACTTAAATGGGTTGAAAGCATATAAATATTATTACTTACTAAGAAGAAAAATTCAACAGTGGTGAACTACTGACAAAACTTCTAAATTCGAAGAATCAGGGATATACAAACTCAACTGTGGATCTTGTCCTGAGGAATATCGGTCAGACAGGTCGTACGTTTGAGCAGCGCATTCATGAACATGAGATGATTTTTTTGAAATAGAAAGCAGATTCAACACACTCCAACCACATAAATATCAAAAGGAAACCATCGTTTTGAAATTCTACATTTAAAAAATAAAGGAATGAAACTCAAACATTTTGAATCATTGAAAATCAACAAACTCAAAAATGTTGACATTTGACTTGACGATCAATTAGACCTCAATAGTTCACCACTGTTGAATTTGTTTTCTCAGTAAGTAATAATATTTATATGCTATCAACCCTTTCAAGTTAATCCGGTACACCGTTTTTCAATGTTGATATTGTGCCTAATTTCCGAAAATGGAAGTTTATCGACCCTGTCCACAGGTAACTAATCTTTCAAGTTGGGAAAGTAGGATATATGAAAGTTAAGCAAGCCAACGTTGGTTCAGTTCATTGTACCAGTATATCACCTCACGAAGCTATACTGTGTTAGCAAAACATGTCGTGTGATTAAGAATTTTGTGGAAATCCTATCGTTTGTGAAGCTTTTACATTTGCCATGAATTTCCATCAAGTGTAAATATGTTATTGAAATAGATTTGAATGAATTGTCTATTTATTTATTTCACAAAATTCATCTGTCCTAACAGCCATAATGACATCAAAGATCACTTTCAATTCAATTCAATTCAAAATTTTATGATATAAACTGAATAAGAATATATAGTTTATCAGTGTGTTGTTGATCATTTCAGGTGGCTCGACGACCGACGACCCGAGCCCCCCGGCGTCCCCCCGTGACCCCCCGCCGCCCCACACCTCTGGTTCGCGGCCCTCCACCCCCCCGCCGGCTGCCTCCCCGCACCCCGCCTACCTGGACCGGGGGTACGCGACGGCGGGCCGGCCGAAGAGCCCGTACCGGGACGCCGAGCACATGGTCATCGACGAAGAGGTGAGTACGAAGTGAAAAATCAAGCTCTTTGCCAATACAGCTTCCCTTCATTATAAACCCACCGGTTATAATCTCTGCCACCGGCAAACAAGCCTGCCCATATTAAGACATGTAAGATCCCAGAAAACAAATTCACGTAACTAACGCATGAACATGGTTCCGTAGATCAGTTACGTAACAAAAGAGGTAATGAGTAGGTTCAAAATTCATGAGACTGTCCGCATCACGTTACATCATGAATTTGTTACATACATCTATTGAAAAATATGGTGGAACCTTAGGCGTGGCACTTGATATCTCCAAGGCATTCGATCTAGACTGGCACGACGGACTCCTCGCCAAGCTTTCCATCTTATGGCTTGCCTGCCCAGCTATGTTTTCTGCTAGCTAGTTCTCTCCCAAACAACTCTCTCCATGTAGTGGTCGACGGAGTTTCATCTGACTCTCTTATCATAAATGCTGGTGTTCCGCAAGAATCAATTCAAGCACCAACACTATTTCTACTACATATCAACGATTCGTTGGAAGCAACTTTATGTCCAGTACACAGCTTCGCGAATGATAGTACCCTCAATACTGCCTTCTCTTCAAAAGCTTCAATACTAGCCAGGCAAATCAGAAACAAACGAGGGAGAAATTTTGACATCATAAATTATAACAATTCTCGAATGGAGATCTAATAACTTGGTAGATTTCAATGCCAACAAAACATAAGCATGCTTCCTCTCTAAAAAATCCGATCTCACTGTGCTTGTCATGAGTAACCTTAACTGTGAAGACATCCACTTCGATGCTTGGTATCACTATCAGCATTAACGTTTCTTGGAAAAATCACGTGAGATCGATTGCTAAAAGTGCATGCATCCCAAAAACTTGTTTTTTTGTTTCGGGCCAGGAGGCACAGATTCGACCTGTCCTGTTGTGCAGTACCCAAACATACCCTGAAACTGTTGATGGAGTCTGTAAAAAATGGGGCAATTTGTCTCGTGGGTGATGCCTCGCTCACAAACTCACTCACTTCTCTGGAACACCGTAGAAAAGTTGGCGATCTGGCCATATTTTATAGATATTTTCACGGACGATGCTCTTCTGAAATATCAACAATTGTTCCTCCCTCGGCAGTCCCCGCGGGATAAACCCGTCGAGTTGAGGCTTCGCACCCCTTCGTGGTCACTTTGGAGACCTGCAGAAAATCTCTTTCCAAAGACTCGTTTATCCAACGAACAGCGAGCCTCTGGAACAGACATTTGAGAAGAACACCAATTCCTACATTACAGAATATCCCCCTTTGTGGGAACCAGAACATAAAAAAAATGAACACAAATAACCTTCTGTCAACCTTCAGGTTTGAACGCGCGCCGTGTGACGCCATTTTCCGCTGTTACAATTGAAATTATTGGTCTATTGGCATAAGGCGCCATTTGTGTTTGATCTCGCAGATTCTTAAATGATGTAAACTTTTCCCGCTCATAGATAAAAATAAGTTTTTCGTCCAACTTTTTGGAGGAGAACTCAGTATTTTTTTGCTTCTACTGAGCCTTTATTGATTTAATTTTTTTTTGTGGTGTAGTACCGTGTGGTGTCTGCCCCCCATTGTGGTGGCGGCCCATAGGAATCCGCCTATGTTGCATGTGCCTAAATCCGGTACTGTAATATGCCGTATGACAAGAAACAAAAACAGCAAAATATACAAACAAACTCCTACAGTGCACATTACTTACAATACACCAAAGACGAATCAACGTGAAAATGGCTGACAGATGATCCATAATGAGATTACAGAGAAGATGGTTCTGACGAAATCTAAAACAAGTACAGACATATTCACACTGAACTCGAAAACATATATCAGATACCTGCAGTACTAAATTTGATACATTTTGCGCAGGTGCCTGACCAGTGGCGGATTTACGATTTTTGGGGCCCTAAGCTTACTAATTCTTGGGGCCCCTCTGGCCCCTACCCTCATTCCTTCTTCTGTTTTTTCCAATCAATACTCAATAACTTCTGTTTTTTTTAATCAATAATACCATGTAATATTTTCTTCCCAAATACAAATGTTAACAAAACTGAACATTTGATGATGAAAATATATAAGAAAGCAAAGAAAAAGACATTCATTGATGAAAATATAGTATCTTCAATCTATAGGATATAGGAAACAAAAAAAAACAAAAAAAAGAATAGAACGATATAAAATAGAATAACCGTAACTATAACGCACTGACTAGGATCAGATACCTACAAAGCAAAATGTTTTCGAGTCCATACAGGTTCTAAACAATAACGAAATTACTAGGAGAAACATATTACGATTCCTGATTTCTGATTTTCAAATCTGCGAATCATTTCATTGCACCATGATAATTTTCAAACTGTTCGTCAAATCACTTCCGATCGAAAGCATTCCCATATAGGTGGTGATATTTTCTTCAGCAATACAGTTCTTTCTTTGATATTTTCTTCGACCTCGCATTAACGAGTAAATTTATTGTCTATGAAATCGTTCATTAATGACCCTTATTAATGATCGATTTGTCTATTAATACACGATTATTTTACAGGCAACCAAACATACACCGCGAGCATTCATTGTTTATGCTATAACTTACGGAATCTGCATTTGAATCGAAAATATGGATTTCATCAAAGATTCGCCTTCCCAAGTTTTTGAAACGATCTGAATCCCTGTTTTCTAACACAAGGAATTTATTCTGTATGTTGATCATTTCGATAAATTTCAAATGTCACTAATGTCAGTAACAAGGCTACTGGGTGATTCTTAGTAGTTTCCCGGATGAATGATGAATTCGCGAACCACGTTTTCTTCATTGCAGGAGAAATAAGAAAAATAGTTTACAGAAAAATTTTGTAACCAACTCAAAAGGCGATTGATACACTAGTTGGTTAAATAACTATTAATTATTGTTAATTTTGAAAATGAGTGCTCTGCTTCGATACTGGTCACTGGTAGTGTGGAAATAGAGTTCAAAGTACTAATTTCAATTGAAAAATACCTCTGTTCATCATCCCTTTGCTGTACAAAGACACGTCGATTTCATAGGGACAGTTTTGCTAGGTGTCTCCTAAACAGTAGAGGAGATAGACAGTTGATGAAATTAGACAAAAGTTGCCGTTTTGCAAACTCGAAAAATTTCAGCCGTTCCTGAAATATTTCGAAAAAACAGAAAATCATTGATTTTGTTCTTATTCAGCTAATATTTGGGGAAAAAAACCGGCAGATTCCTTTCAGTTTGCAAAATGGCATTGGTATTGATCAATAGAATGAAGAGATTTTGTATTTCGTGTAAATTTTTTTTATTATAAATCGCAAAGCGCTTTCGGCTAAAAAGCCATCATCAGTGCTATACCTGCAAGTAAGTAACATTTATGAAATTTCAAAAACAAATCTAAAAAGGTAGATTACTTACTCGTCAAGTATTTACAAAAAGGTCCAAAAATTAGTGATCACAGACATCATTATGGTACAAACGGGATTATGAACAGACATACATTTAACAAAAATGTTCCCTAAAGGATTATTGTAAAATTTTTCAAAAATACATGTTGAGATTGTTTTGTTCAAGTCCAGAAATAGCACGAGGGACCTTAACCTTATTTATTCTGGAGGATGTTTGATAATTTTTAACCTTAGTAAAATGTTGACAATGACTGAGTGTCAATGTCTATGACTTAGTTGACATGTGTATGAAGTAGACAAGTGACATTGTTGTTGTTCATAATGATTTTATTTTTATAACATTCTGTAGTTATCTTGGAAACGGGATCAATATGTATTGTCAGATAATTAAATAATTTTGAAAAGTCATACAGTCCATTAAAATATCAAGAAAAGATATATTTCTGACCGACTGAATTGACATTGGTCCTTCAAGCCTCTAGACAAGTCCTGTGGAGTGAAATATCGAAGAAACTACGTGAAAATCCACAAATTATGGAAAATCAATCATCTGACAGATTATGTCGAAAAACAGCAGGTACCAATAGACATCTTGATGAAGAATTTGAATGGCCCTCGAATTTTGGCAGAAGGACTCATATTCTACCAAGGGTTGCAGAGGAAAGTGAAGAAATTCATCATTCTGTAGTCAATGATCTTGGGGTTATTGATGAAATGACAGTCCGACCAGATCATTCATCAAATCGACAGACTCCAGTTCAGGATAATGCAGAATTTTCTTCAAAGCATTCAGATAGGTCTTCTAAATCAAGATACTCTTCTGCCAGTGCAGAATTACAGAAGAAAAAGTTGGCGTTTGAAGCAGAAAAAGCAAAACAAGCTATTGAAACGGAAATGATGAAAAACAAGCTGAAATTAATCGAAATGGAGAGACAAGTAAGAGAAGCTGAAATTAATGAAAATGAGGAAAGGCGATCTCTAAAATCAAGTTCAACTAAACATAGCATTCAATACTTGATACGGAAGGACCCTTTGTATCCAGAAGTTGATGTGATAGACAATGAACAAGGTCCGTCTACACATTATAATGCCAAGTCATTCGTGGCGGATTGGATAGAAACTATTCCTCAATATTCCAATGGCAGTATACCTGAAAATATCGGAACTATTCCGAAAAAACCTGAAGAAGATAAGTCAGACATCAAAATACTGTGCGAATCCCTTGGAAATGTGTTGAAAACAGCAGTTTCTCCCAGACAAGAAAAAATGTGTTCGCGTCACGTAGCCGAAAAAGATTTCCCTATGTTCGATGGGAAACCAGAAGAATGGATGACTTTCTTATATCAATTCAAGAAAATTTCGTCGTATTGTGATTTTTCTCCAGAAGAATGCATGATTAAATTGCATAAGTGCCTGAGGGGAGATGCGAAGTTTGCAGTGGCTGGCATGATGATGTCTCCTAACAACCTCGACTTAGTACTCAAGACACTCGAAATGAGATTTGGCAGACCAGACCAAATCATTGACGTTGTATTGTCTCGAGTAAGAGGACTGACTTTCATCAAAGAACATGACCTGG